AACCCAAACCCAAACCTCCACCAGAAGTTTATTATTCAGATAGCGAAGAAGAAGAAGTAGTAGCAAAACCGTTCATTAAGAAAAAACAACCAGTATCAGTATCTCAACCAATCACACCAGCATCAGCATTAGCTCAACAATACCAACTATTGCAACAGCAGATGATGCAACAGAAGCAAGAAAGATACAATAAGATATGTCAAGGTATGTTCGCTCCAAGAACTAAAAAACGGTGATATAAATTATAGATTATAAATTATATAATCTATAATAATAATAATGACTTCTTTAACCTTAGATGGTGGAACAGTGTTCAGGGGCACTGAATTTATCAAATTAGAAATCACAGGTTCATCAAATCTAGCAACCGAAGCTTATGTTGATACAGCAGTTGCTAATGGAGGTGGTTCAGGTGGAACATCAACAACTGATTTATCAGGATACTACAACATGACACAAACAAATACACTGTTAGATACGAAATGTAACATTACAGCAGTGAATACACTGTTAGATACAAAACTTGATATTAATAATCCGCAAGATATTTCAGGAACTCTTAGACTAGGTAGTGTAGATGGTCTTTCAAAAATTATTTTAAATGCGGTTGGTAGTAATGGAAAAGATTTTTATGTGAATGGAGATAGTCAAGTGTTAGGTAATTTAACTGTTTCATCGTTAGACAGCACAGGATACATAAACGTTCAAAGCATTCAGACAAACACGTATAATGTTCTTAACACCAATGATATATTTTTTCAATCTAACAGTGTTCCTTATGCTCAATTTGATTATGCTGATGACTGTTTTAGATTTGTCAAAAACTTAGATACTGGCAATATCACTTGTAATGGCAACCTTAACATAAATTCAATGGATACAATAGGAGATGTTGATATGATATTAAAACAAAATAATGTTAATATTTTAGAATTAAAAAATGATAATAGAATTATTGCAAATCAATTATTACAATGCGGAGGCAATCTTAAAACACAGGAGATAGATACATTGGCACCGCTAGATATGATATTAAAAGTAAGTGGTGATAGTATGTTAGAATTAAAAACTGATAACAGAATAGTAGCAAATAAATTAATCCAATGTGGAGGTAACATCAAAACACAGGAAATAGATACAATAGCACCATTGGATTTAGTATTGAAAAGAGATAACGTAAGTATGGTAGAATTACAAAATACTCTAACACTATTGAATACCAAAACTGAATGTATTAACAATATCGTATGTGATAATTTTGAAAGCCGTAGCTTATCAACTGTATCTAATTATATTATGAATGAGAGCACCGGTGAAATTAAATTTTATGTAGGTAGTCCAACATCACCGGATACAACAACTAATTTAGTTATGACATTACAAAATAATCTCATAACCTTTCATAAACCAACATCACCAGAAATAGGAGGAGGAACAATTGATGATAGTAATTATGTTAAGAAAACAGGTGAAACAGCACAATTAATAGTCGGTCAAACGGAATTTCAAGGTTCAACAGCACAAGCTTTTAAGTTTGCCTTAGGTGGTCCTAGCCAGTTCGCTCAATATAGAAGGTTTGAAATATACAGCAGTGAGATTATTTCTTATAGAGTTATGAAATTTACCAATGCCTTAGGCTTACAAAGTAATCTGATAAATTCTTACACTGATGTTGATTTAGTTTTTCAACGAAACGGTGTTGAATATATGAAATTTACCACAAGTGGCAATTTGGATGTAAATGATGCGGTCAGTTTGAGGTCTAATACTTATGATAGTGTCGGCAATGCTGATGTGACTTTTAGAAGAAATTTTATTAACTTCTTTCATTTGAGAAACAATGAAGTTGAACTGGCATCTGCAATAGCATTAAATGCTGACAATGCTAAACTTAATACCATCAACACAACAGGTGATAATGATATGGTATTTCAAAGGAACGGGGTTGAATATTTTAAATTAGATGGAGCAAATAACATTGTCCATGTTGGAACTTCAATAGCGTTGTCATCAAACTATTTGTATTGTAACTATCTTCGCACAAGAACATTAGCCACTAATGATATGATATTTGAAGGAGCTAATACGGCAGGAAATGGATATACTGAATTTATGAGATTAAGAAAGGATGAAGAAGATGAGTATATTATTCAAGACAAACGACTTTATTTTCATAAAGGTAGTAGCGTAAACAGTTATATCACTTCTACAAATATAGCAGGTGCTAATCATACAAATTTTTATAATGAAGACCCTAATGGAGATTTAAGATTTTATGCCAATGGTGGCATAAGAATGTATATTACACCATCAAAAGTATCAGTTCCTCCATCTTACATATTGGAAGGCAATTTAGTAGATACATCTGATAAAAGTAAAAAGTATGATATCAAAAGTATTGAACAGAACTTCACTGACATTGTCAGACAAATTGAACCTAAAACTTTCAAAATGGAAGAAGAAAAAGAATTAGGTATAACTAAAAATCACATTGGATTTATTGCAGATGAGATTTCAGAAGTAATACCACCTGAATGGCAAAATATAGTGATGACTGATAATGAAGGTATTAAGAAGTTAAGTTATATTAAACTATCAAGTATTCTATGGGGTGTTTGTAGAGAACAACAACAAAAAATTGAGTGGCTAGAAAGTTCTGTTTATGAATTGCAGGAATTAAGCAAACCTAAGGCAAAAGCCAAGGCTAAATCAAAAGCTGAACAAATATAATCTAGATGAATAATATAATATAATGGGTTCTAAACAATCATCTGTTGAAAATAGTTGCATTCAAGAACTGAGTAATATAAATGAAAACGATTTAGATATATCAAACATTGATAAGTTTCAAATAAAAGCTATAAAGGAAATGAACACTAGAATAGAAGAAATTGAAGAAAAGAAAAGCGACAGAATATTTTATAAACTACCGGCTATTAACCTATGTAGTTGGAGTTTAATTTAATGATATTATAAAATACAAATAATATCATTGAATGTGAATTGCCTTCTCTAATCTTATCATAAAGGTCTTATTGATGTCACTCTCGCGAAGCTTGACAAAAAGAAATGAGTAAGGTTGGTCATTGACTGCAAGATTGTAGATTTCATACAAGGTCTTCTTATCAACTAAGGCTGATTGTTCTTCAATGAATGTTTCAACCTCTCTTATGTTTTTCAGCTTGAAAATATATAATGATGATGTATTTACTCTTACAATAGTCGCAAGTGCATTGAGCTTCTGACTGGCAGTGATGACTGATAACCCAAAGTGCCTAGATTTGGTGTATAAACCGTGGAAGATTTTTGAATATCTCATAAAAGTTTTGTCTTCTGCGAAATCGTCAATTATTAACAGGCAACTATATAATTTAGTCATTTTGTTTTTCTTTTGATATTCTATCACTTTATGTTGTGTGTCTATTATATGTTCTAATGCTTCTGGATTATATTCATCAAATAAGTATTGTTCTTTCTTATTATCTATTTTAAGTTTTTTCTCAATGTATTTTATCACTTCCTTATAGGCTTCATCAATATGAGCTGTTGGACTGACGATATAAATTCTCTCAAAGCAACCACGGTAGATTTTCAAAATTAGGTTTTGAATGAGTATGCCTTTTCCACCCTGTGATGCTGAAACAATGATGCTTCTGAAAGGTAGTTTGTCTGCCTGAGGGTATGGTGACTGTTTGAATTCATATTGTTTGACATTTATAGGTTCAATTTTTGGTGGTTCTAATTTCTTCATATAATAAAATATGTTAGAAAATAAAATATAATATTATTTGTTAATGGAACTTTTGGAACAGAGAAAAGGGCATTAACCCTCATAAGTAGCTAATTAGTTTTGGAATTCATTTTTCAGTTTGGAAAAGAAGACCGCCCCTCTCTTCTGCGTGGATAAGTCAGTGCAAGTGAAGTTGCAAAGTTAATTAGATAATATTATCTAATTAACTTTAATAGATGCCTAAGAAAGCAAAATCAAAAATTCCCAGGAAACCAATTCCTGAGGATTTTGAACTGTCAGATGACGAACCAACCATGATAAACTTGAGTGAAGAACAAAAATTGACAAGTAAAACTATTTGTTTGATTGTCCGTTGTGCCACTGTAAATTACAGCCGAGGAATGAAAGTGAAATCAATCCTAAAAGTATAAAGTGTACATGTAATCTTTGTAGTTTCAAAATCAGCAAAAATGATAAGACAATGAATGTCAGTAGGGACGAGAATGGACACATCAAATTGGATTCTGAAGACCACAGTATCAGTTTTTCTTGGAACAGACAAGTGACACCTGAAAACCAAGATGACCAGCACTGAAACCAAATGACGAGTGATGTCATGGGTACACCAAAAAGCAAAGCACCAACATTGAATGATATGGATTGAGAAAAGTGTGTTGCAAACGACTTAAAGATTAGTTTCAAAGCAGTTCAACTTGATAAATATTTAAATACATAAGTTACAATATATAGTTGTTTATATACGCGTATGATCGGTGAAAATGAAGACAAGCTATTGAAAACAGTCCAAGCAGTGAACAAAAACATCAAGCACTTGAAGGAAATGGTCAGTAAACTAGAAGAAAAACTTGACAGCAAACAACCTACCCCAGCAGAGGAGAAGGAGAGGATTGAAAAAATCTTTGAATCCAAAAAGATTGGGCGTCCCGTAGGCAGTTTTGAAGACAAACAGAAGCAGTATCTCAGATTACTGAATGAAAAAAAATCAAGACACCGAAGCAACAAACACTGGACTACTACCAGATATACAAGGATGGAGACAAGTATATGATGAGAGATTCAAGCACATGATGTTGGTATAAAACATTGTAATTATATCATAATCATACCTTGTAAATCTTTATTGTCTGTAATCATGAAATGTTGATAAATCTTGATAAGAGGTGCAACTGTGGCAACGACGTTCTTGGGCGAAGCAACATGCAGAAATGGAAGCAAATGCTGCCCTTTTACCAAGGGTCTCGCTTGACTCTTACTGTACAACAGGGAGCGCCTTGTCTGGCTTTGACTGCAACAGTCTCTGAAGAAGTACAGCTTTCATTGCATCACAACGCTTTTCGTAGTTCTGTGTGAAGTCCCGTGGATTTGGCAACTCGTTGTGCTCGCCATGAGCCATCTCTGCTTTGAGATACAAGGAGCGCATGAAAGGAGCTGGATTCACAGAAATGGTTTTTTCATGCAGGTCGTCAAATGTGAGTGGTCTCGGCTTGTCTTTGCGGTGGCATTTCCCACAGACCGCCTTCCCATCTTCATACTGGATCGATTTTGTTTTCAAATCATTGCTGACGTAGATTTTGAGTTCTACTCCTTTGGCGTGGTTGCCTGTGGGGATGAGAGTCCATTTTCCTGCTTGGTACGTCTTCTCCAGATGTTTTAGAAGCAACAAGCCGTTGCGACTGTTGGACACCTCAAAACCCAATTTGCTAGCGACTTGCCACTGTCCCTTGGGGACTATGTGTTCAGAGACTGCTGGAAACCACCAAGATGCATGAGTTTGAGGGAACACTTGGGACAGGACGGTGCAGCATTTCTGCCCATAATGTGCTTTGACATTTTTGCTCCATGTGCTACCATCTCTCAATGATGTCTCTAAATCCTCTGGAACAGGCAAAATTCGGAAGTTGGCCGCGGACGTCTGTGCCAAGACCTGTATATTTGTCTCCAGCGTCTCCAGCCTTCTCTCCGTATTTGTCTCCAGCGTCTCCAGCCTTCTCTCCGTATTTGTCTCCAGCGTCTCCAGCCTTCTCTCCGTATTTGTCTCCAGCGTCTCCAGCCTTCTCGCCGTATTTGTCTCCATCGTCTCCAGCTTTCTCGCCGTATTTGTCTCCATCGTTTCCAGCTTTCTCTCCAGTGTCTGCAGGGCTTCCACAACCATCTCCATGCCTTCGGTTGATGGGGCACCAGAGGCGTCAGGGTACTCCACATAGAAAGCATCTGCCGCAGATTTGCCACCATCAACTTTCTGAATGAGCATGTCTGGGGAAACAGCCTCACAAAGCGCAGGAAAGAGGCAGGAACCAAAAACAAGCCCACAATTACACCGACAACAATGAAAAAACATTCCTGCTGTCAGGTCACTTCTCCCTTGTCCTTCTCACCTGCAGACCGGTAGAGCTGAAGGAGGTCTGCACGGACTTGCTCAAGACTTGCTTCCCTCTGCGCCTTTTTCAGCACTTCACTGACATCGTCTTGTTTCTCCGTGAAAATCTTCAAAGCTCTCTGCCCGCCTTTCACATGGACCCAAATGTGGGCGCCAGTCTCCATTTCCAAGTAATTGAGAACGGCCGAACTTTGAGCCAAAAACTTGGCTCGAGCACACATACACTTCCACAAAAAACACATCAACTAACATCGCCTTTTGGAAAGGAAGACTCAGCAACACAGTTAAGGTCACAGTCCAAACAGGCACCCTGCTCGTATTGAGGGTCTCCTTGCTGTGTAATATCCTACGAGGATAGCCTTGCCCATCTTCCAGCCAATAATATGTATCCCCAAAAATCATATGATATGCCACCTTATTGAAAAGCATCTCTTGATGATTATTGTTTGGGGGCTTGTTGAAAACATAGAACTGACCAAAAATTGATTGGAAATTGAAAAGTGTAGGGTACCCCCCATGGTTTTTTGATTGATGAGATGCTTGGTGGCTTTAAAATATTTGGGGGTTAGATGGCTGGAAGATGGGCAAGGCCTACCCTAACTATTATATATATATATATTACGTTTTGTTAGTGTCCCTTTGCTGCTGGAGCTCGTCATGTTGGTGGTGTTTCCAGCACCTTGAGATGAGATGTCTGTTCCTGCTTTTGTTGTTCGAGTTTGGATATTTTTGCTTTGCCTTCTTGTTGCTTGTCGTCACTATTTTTTGTCTGAATGTTTCCCTGGTTGTTTGCACACCAGTTGCAGCATATTGGGGATGGAATGTATAATTCGATGGTATTTGCACTGTGCTTCTCGTACAGAACTATGGATTGGTAGCATTACTTCTGCTCCGATGTCTTTGTTGGCGTTTTGTGTTCTTCCTGTTGTGTCGGTGGGTTTATGAGAGTAGTGATGGGTGCTGTGGGACTTTACGAGATGCAGAGTTTGTGGTTGCTGCAGTGGTTTTTCTGCAGGTTCTGTGGCCCGGTCAGTCTTGTTCAAGTTGATGTGTTGCTGTTCTTGTCGCTTGCTCCTTGCATCTCTTGTTGCTCCTAGTGCTTTTCTTGTTAGCGCAGTGGCCACAAGGCCCAGACACATGGAGCTGGGAGGGGTCGGGAGGGGGTTGGGAGGGCGGGTGGTGTTTGTTGTAGTTGTTGCATGTTGTTGCCCAAAAAAGAAAAACAAATCAAATAAAAAGAACGCCTTCCAAAAAGTTGTGGGTGATCAATAATTGTGGCCTTTAATTGCGGACAATTGAGCAGAGGGTATGTATAGTTTAGCGGTACAAATGGCAAAACAGTTCCGAAACTGCGAGACCAGTCACAACAGAGGTGGCACCATCCTAGTACTACGGCAATACATTCTTAAACCGAGCTTCTGAAAGGTGCACGTAGCCAATTTTTTGTTCGTAGGCCTCAAGGTCAATTTTTTTTTCAGAAAGCCAAAGAGTCAAAAGCAGCAAAAGGCCCAGAAACCACAAAAAGCGAAGAAGGCACTAAAGATACTAAAGCCATAGAATCCAAACGCCACAAAAGGTACAGCGCTCAGGAAGCCAACGTAGTCAAAAGTCACAAAAGGCCAAGCCAAAAGCCAAGAAGCGAAAAAGCCAAGAACCCAGGATGAAACCAAGAAGCCAAGAGCTAAGAAGCCACTGAAAGCGACAAAGCCACGGAAACAAACAGAATCTTTAAAGAAAACAAAACATTACATATCCATACATATCCCATCCTTTTTGACTTCCGCCTCATCCCTTTTTGCAACAACCGTCCAAAACCAATCAAGCGAAGAGAATACACTGAGAGAAAACAAGCACATGAACGGCACATCAACGTCTTTCTGGAAAATCCTCGTGCGACTCGTGCCCCTGTGCCTTGGAAGGTCAATGTGATCACCTTAAGAAGTCAAGACTCTTCGAAGGCCATGCAGAGAACTCCAAAGAACTCAAGTGCTCACAAGCTCACGAATATATTATATAAATATATATATAAATCATGGTCGTTCTCGTGAGATGTTGAGATACATTAAGATGCTCCGTAGGGCTCCCTGTCGTACTCTGGTCTCGTCATGAGCAGCTGGCTCCAGTGCCAACCAAGCTTGCACCTGCCAGGAACGCTTGCTCTGTTCAAGACAAAATGCTCTGTTCAAACTTGACTAATGCTGATACTTCCACTTTGAAGCTAATTCGTCACAGTTCTTCCAGTTCTGCCAGTTCTGCCCCTCTCTTCGGCACTCCATCAAGCGCCACACCTAGCAGTCCGCTCTGAACCGAGCTGATAATCTCTTGCAGCTTCCAAGCCAAATGGACGGCAATCGCCTCAACAGCGCACAACATTTCTCAACACCACTCAACACTTCTAGAATGCAAGTGAAAAAAAAAAGGCAAAGAGAAAGCTGCCTTGAGAGTCAGATTGATAATCTGGTTGATCCACTTGTGATAGCCCTGCACAAAAATATACAAAAATCAACACGCAAAGTTTTGCAGCAAAGATATGGCTCGTAATTGGCTCGCCATGACTCGTCCACGAATCGAAGCATTGCCTTGGGCATCAGTACCACGAGGATGGGCGTCACCTCGGATCAGATGGGCATCACATGGCATCACTTCATCATGGAATCATGGATTGATCATGGGTTATTATGGGTTATTATATGTTATTATATGTTATTATATGTTATTATCATTCAAATTTGATCTGCTGGGCTTAGCCTACCTGGCCTACCTCATCCCTTGTCACTCCTCTGCAGATCAACCCTGGGGTTGCCACTCCTAGAAAAACTAGAAGCCTGCAGCTGAGTTCTCTACCACTATTGCGACAGGTTTGCGCAATAGATCCGCAATGGAGCAAGCAAGAGCTACTGTCCATGCCTTGTCAAGAAGCATTTTGCAGAAACTCCACAACGCACACGCGCACATATTATGGGCACTTAGGCTGCAACAAATTTGAACTTCAAAGATACCAACAGTCCTCAAAGAACATACAACAGCTCGGCTGCAGTTTCATTGGAAAGAGATGGACATAGACAAGGATTGTGTGACCATGTGTGACCTCTCTCAAGTTCCAACACATTTCAAACTTTCAGGCCGGCACCTAGGAAGCCCTGGTAAAGGCCAGCACAGGCCTTGCAAGGCTTCAAACCCTACCCCTGAAACATCAAAAGAACCCACGCTCTGTCCGCCTTCACAACAACATCAGGGTCTACCGCTTTCAGCACGACGCCAGCCTCAAAGCGGCACAAATCACACGAACCAAAAAAACGAAAATTCTATCCAAAACATGAAACAATATCAGAAAATGCACGGAACAAATCCCGGGCCTTGTGCTGATACCAATCCTGTGTTGCTTAACACAACCAGGCAATGTCTTGAGTCTTGACACCACATTGATCAAGCTGAGCATCACAGAGGCACAGGAGCATCACTACAGGATGATCAAGGCCTTCGGGCTCAGCTGAGCAAGGTCACGGCCGGCAGCCTGGCGCTGGAAGAATTTGATGTGCAAATCTCAAAATGTGCAACAAAACCATAGAAAACCGGTTTTAAGTTCGAAGATGCTTGAAGTTAACAACCAGGTACCCAGTGAACTTGTGTGGCTGGCCTTGTCATCCTCTAAGGAGGCTTCATTTGCGATTTGAATGTTGGTGGCTAGGTCCTGCTCAAAGCTCCCAAGTCAGAAGAAACCACGACAGCTTCCAGACTACCTAGCAGAAGACCTGTTTTAGGTCACTATTCTATGAGGTGTCATTTGCATTCATTTGCGCCCATCCATGCTACACTCTACAGTCAAGGTTCCCTCTTTGCTACGTGATTGACTGTTCCAATTTCGCTGTCAGCAGTGGATATGCCGCGGTAAGTTTTCTTGACTCAAACAGAATCTACGAAAGGATGCGAAAATGTCAAATGCATCAGGCAAAACATGATATATTTTACAGTGCAAGGCCTTTGCCATAGTACCAGCTTTCTGAAACGGCGGGCATGAGTCTGTCTCTAAACATGATCATGTCAGATAACGCATCCTGCAAACACAGAAGAAGCTTGTCGCCACCAGTGCGCCGAAAGCATTCCACTGCCGCAATTGAGGCACAAAACCTAAGCCACATTGGTCACATGATGAGTCGATGAGTCCATGACTGTACAACATCCGGTCCACGCAGACGCAGAGCTTGAAACATTATGACAGTTATGACACGCCTCCGCACCGTGCTCTGAGTTCCCTGCTCCCCTCCGAAGAAACAAAGTGCACACCTCATGCACGGCTGCGCTGCCAATGCTCAAGGCACTTGCTTTAAGGCTCAGTCCCGTAGATGACCAACAGTTCTTGCTTGGGGATCACCTTGTAAAGGTAGTACCTTGTATTCAAAACACGGAACCAATCAAATCAAACAGTCTTCTGAAGCTTGTGCAATGCAAGGCTCACAAGTGGATGCAAAAACATGCTGTTTCTTCTGTTTCTTTTCTACCCGGTTACCCGTATCAGCTGGCGCACAGTGCAGTGAAAAACCACATTACGATCGGAGCCTGAACCCGTCGAACCCGTCCAACAATCCGATGATTTGATCGGTCACAGGAATGAGCTGAACAGCTGAACCATGACAGATATGACAGATGCTCAGCAGCATCAAAGAAATTCTTTGCCAAGAGCTCAGCAGGTCGCCAAAACTCTGAGGATTGCCAAGGCAATCTGCAAAAGGTATCCGCTGGTCTGGCCATACAATGCTCTTCCATTTGACTGTCTTCGAAAATCTTACATGAAACTTATATGATCTTATATGTGACATGTCTAATACATTTGTCATATGTGTCTGATCCTGCACCACAATACTGGCTTCAAGACTTGGCAGGACTTGGCCTCTAGGCATTGTAGACATCGTGGCCTGAGTTGCGGCAGAGGGTCACATCGCTCCCTGATCTCCCTGATCTCCCTGTCCTGATCAGAGTTTCTTGTCACCAAGATGACGGCGGAGGCTGCAAGGAGTAGTCTGCAACAAGTCGGCTCACCAAATCCGCCTCTGACAAGTCTGACAAGTCTAAGTAAAGAAAAAGGAGTTGAAAATGCATTGCATTTTTTTTAAATTAATCTTGTTCTTGACACATTTAACACGTTTAACAAAGTCCCCAGCCTGGCTTTGCCCTTGAAGAGTGCCTTCATGGCCAGTCGCCTGATGGCGCAATGCAAATCCGCTCTCCCACATTGACAACAGCACAAGCAGAATCGACCTGACCACGACGCTTCAACAATGGTCTCTGCAACCTGCGTTCGGAGAGATCCGGTCAACATGCAATTGCACGGAAGTTCACAAAAGTCATGGAGTTCATGGAGTCTGTAGGTTTGACGCGGATGAGCCAAGGATGCAACTCGGGATCCATCTACACCAAGGACTCAACATCCGCCCGGGCCGCGCGGCTTTGGCAGAAGCTGCACCAGTTTGTCCAAGCGTCGGTCTTTCGGATAAGACAAGCGAACCAAACTGTTGAACCTCACCCGAAGCCAGGCTTGGGCCCAGGATATCTTACTGCTGGAAGTCCATCAAAATTCACTGAATGAGTTGACTGTCAGACTGTCGGACTCAGATTCTCGGTTTAACAACAACTGGGCTGAACAGGCGGCTGCAAAAGATCGTGACTTACACAACCTTGTCATCATGTCATCTCAATGCGCAACTTTTGGAGCTATCGCATGCATGTTTCATGGTGAAACACTAGTGAGACAAGCGAACCAATAGATGAATATAATTAATGTTCTAATGTGAAAGGTATGTACAGTGTGCGGGCCCAATGACAAATCAAGATACTAGTTCACTCTGAAGCTAATGGTGGGAAGCAAACAATGGTTGGACTAAATAAGACCCAGCACCCATGGAGAACACATCTCCGCTGTTGAGCTCAATCTGGCAAATCCTTTTCAGCTGCTCTCACAACTCTCACAGCTGCTGCACCCCCTGACAGGTTGCCCTAACCATTTGGTTAGTGTTGGTTGCAAGGTCAGAATTCACAAGAAAAAAATAGTTTTGTAGATGTCTGGATATAGATGTCTGTTGATGTCTGTAAACCCAAGCCCACCTCCTGCAGCAACAAGATCTTTGCCGACTGTAGCAGGGGATTCCCTTGCGCGAGAGGTCGCTGTCACATCTTCCCCATCAGGAGTTTCAGCCGAAACTTCGGCTTGTCTGTCTTGTGAACCTTGTGAACCTTGTGAACATCCGACAGGTTCCTGCGAAGGTACAGAACATTGGCTCTTGGAAGGAGCAGGATTCCCGCCAGATGAAGTCGAGCGAATCGGCTCGCTGTCAGCCTCAAGCTGTTCATCTTCCTTTTCTGAGTCCGGATCCAATTTTCTGTCAACCTCGCAGATTTCACCGATCTCATCCGGCTCGTCGATCCCAAGAACATCCTCTGTCAGAGCCTCATTCCCTTCATCGACAGGGGTGTGAAGCAAATCCTCATCGCAGGTATCGCAGGTCATCTTTTCCTGCAAAGCTTCTGCCTCTTCCAACAAATCCATCAGCGCGCGCCGCCTTGGACTTCCACATCTCCACTGAATCTCCACATCTATTGATATTTCGAGTGTCTCCAAAGCTTTCCACTCCGATTTTGAACATGACTTGCAAGCTCAGGTCGATGCCAATGATTGGGAAGTCGAGCCACACCTCTGGAAAGCGAATGAGACAAAAACTGAAAATCATGAGCTGATCATGGGTTTTTGATGTTTTAGGAACGGCATCATTGCCTAATGGCCACTGAGGCTCGGTCGCTCTGTCAAATCAGAAGGAATTGGGACTTCATGAGAAAGGTCCTACCACTCAGGGACAATCTGGGACAATTTGGGACATGTACAAAGACGTAGTGCCAGCTTTTGCGCTGGATATGGTCCTCAACTTTATCATCTGGAATACCTGAGCAAAACTCCGTCGCTTTCAGCAAATGACTGTGCGATGGACTTGGTGCTCATGCTCAAGGGGGGTGTGCTTGGCATGCAAGTATCAGCTCCAACCAGTCTAAGAGGTGAACCCGTCTCATCGTCCAAGCCAGCCTTGGTAAAACTTGCGAGTTAAACAAAGACGCAAACTGCAATTCCTTTGACAAACTGCAGCCACTGATTGGCCAAGCTGCATCTTTGCTCAGCTGCTGCCGAAGAAAAACCAAATCCTACACAAGTCCGCAAGTCACATAAAATGTTTGGTCACTTGAAAATCTGTTGGTCTCTGTACTGTACCAAGTTGCTGACCTGCCCTGTGGCGTCTAGATTCAGCTGTGACTCCTGACCCAAAGGAACTCACACAAATGCATCTGAGACGAGCAACTTTCTTGCAGTTTCCTGCACATTGAGACAGTTGTGAATACTAACAAATCCGCCCACACCGCCTTGGCGGTGAAGGCGTGCTTATTGGGGGGCAACAGCAACACTAAATGCTCAATGACATTTGTTAGTATAGCAGTCGCTATATCAGCTTTAGCTGGGGGGGGCCAAAAACGGTTTCGCACCGAGACCAGAATACGGTGGTGTTTTCGACATTTTTCGAGGATTTTTGGGTGTCTGAGCGCAAGAGGGTATTGAAATGGAATTTTGGGTCATTTTGGTAGCTTTCCGGCAATGGAAAAACGGCCAAAAATGAAAAAAACATTGTACATAGCAAGATTTTGCAGGGTTTTTGGATGCCAGAGCATTGAAAACACTGCAAAAACAAGTGTTTTGGACTGACGTTATAGCAAAAAACGTGTAAATTACCGTATGCTTGACTGGAAACATTACAAAAACACTGTCAAAAGCAATGTTTTGGAAGGATTTACTGCCTTTATGGCAAAAAACGTGTAAATTACCGTCTGTTTGACTGGAAACATTGGAAAAACACTGTCAAAAAAAATGTTTTGGAAGGATTTCTTATATATATGTTGGAGTTGGCTACCGGCATTGGCACATGGAAAAATTGAAGAAAACACTGTAAATAGCGGTATTTTCAACGGTTGGGGAGATAAGGGAATTGGAAGCATTGTCGAACATGATGTTTTCGACCGGTTTTATGGCGACAAAAGTGTAAAGTACCGTGCTTTGAAGGAAACCATTGCAAAAACATCCCGAAAAACATGGAAACACATTCAAAGAACACGGGATTTGGGGGACTATCTAGGCGTCGTTGTCTAGCTATTTGAAATTCCGCAGCTTGGAGAGCCTCCAAGGGAGGGAAAAGTGAAAATTCCATAGCTTGGGAAACTGTCACGGCGGGAAAAAGTGAAAATTCTCTAGCTTGGGAAGCCCCCACGGGGGAAAAGTGAAAATTCATGAAAATTCCCTAGCTTGGGGAGCCCCCACGGGGGGGAAAAGTGAAAATTCCCTAGCTAGTTGCCCCCACGGGGGGGAAAAGTGAAAATTCCCTAGCTTGGGGAGCCCCCAGGGGGGGGAAAAGTGAAAATTCCCTAGCTTGGGGAGCCCCCACGGGGGGGAAAAGTGAAAATTCCCTAGCTTGGGGAGCCCCCACGGAGGGGGAAAGTGAAAATTCTTAGCTTGGGGAGCCCCCACGAGGGAAAACCACCCTTAGCCCCTCTCACGGACCGAAATAAACCTGCGGTGTGGGCGGCTACCCCACGCGAAGCGGGTTGAATAAAAAAGAAAAACATTGCCTTTCACTGCCTTTCGGCAAACGTGGCTAACCTGTATATTGCAGATCTGGTAACTCTTGCCCCTCCGGGGGTCCTCGGATGCCTGCAGCACGCCCTCATCAACCTTTTGAACCGCAAAACAAACAATATGGATCAATATTATATGTATATAGATGTATATATGTTTTTTATGTGTATCCATGTATGTGGATCAATATGGATCAATATGGTTTTGCAGCTTTGCAGTACTAGTCAAACCTGTCTCCGCGTTTTTTCGAAACAAAAAAAAGTACTTCAGGGTATCAACCGATAAAAAATCTTGTCGGTAATTCTACTCCCACCTTTTGTGTGGCTGCCCAGGAAGGGAGAGCATCTTTGCAGAAGTTCAGCCCAGGAGCCTGCCATGAAAAATCAATCAAATATAAGTGAAAAAGTGATCAAGTCGCAACTGGTGCATGCTGAACAAACTGACATGTAGACCTTGCATCTGCTTCATGTTGGCACCTTTTACAGAAAAAAATCTATGCCATACTCAACAATCTCCATGAAAGTGCTGGCCTTTGTCGCCACCCGTTCGCCTGTTGGCCGAACTGCATAGACCTCCAAATCACACAATGTGTTCTGTATGTTCTGTCCAGAATATGTGCAAGGCATATCAAGGCATCTGGGCGAGTTTCGAGTCTCACTGATCGAAAGGAACCTTTGCGACACTGAGACCCGCATCTGTTTTGAGCAAAAACTGAATGTTACTCTAAATTCTAAACAAATTTTACAAAAAGAGGCATCGAACACAACATTGGTGACATCATCAGACCCTGGTTCCTCCTAAATTTTCCATCAGAGTCCGGTAAATCATACTCAAGTGATTCCAAATTGCAATGCTCTGCAGGTCTAGCTGGTAAAAGTCAAGCCGGCATTATGCAGTGACCCATTCCTTTCCCATGACTGAACTGCGTCAACATCAGTTCACCGTACCTCGCCCCTGAGACCTTTGATCTCAACAGTTCCTTCTTCCCATTGACGCCTGAAAGCAAGACTATGAACATAGCATGTCATAGCACACGGCAAGAGCAACAAGTTTCCAATATACACAATGTGCCATCAATCCACTCTTCCGAGACTCCCACCAAGGACTACCCCCCCGCGAGTGACCTCCACACAGTTGACTTCCACTGGATGCAAAACTTGTGTTATCAACTTGCACAAACAATTCAAACAATTGGCACCTTTCGACGGTTTGTTCCTGCTTGGAACACCTCAGTGATCGGGTGAATAGTGAATATTATGCAGTGGGCACCCACTCGTTTCAATCCAATCTCTGTTGCTAAGTTCCACACCTCCTTTGGAGGCGTTTGCACCGGAGAAACAAACGCTGAAACCCTGCTCTCGCCTGCGGAAAGTAATTGGTTTGATGTCTATATAGCGAAACGTAGTTGCGGCTGAAAAAACACCCACCTGAGTTTGTCTAAAAACTTGTCGTCGTTTCCCTTCTGTTGACGAAAAGCTTGATTGCGTTCCTCCATTGACATGCGTTCGACATCTCATAACCCCTCACTGCAGTAAAATTTGTTTGGGTCAAAAACAAATGCGGTTCAAGAGATGCCGTCCTGCAACCTCTGCAGGTAAGCTCTGTGCTGTGCTTCATGCTTTGGCACAAGCACACCATGGCCTACTCCTGTCCAAAGGCGACAGTTTCACCATGAACTCTAAGATTGGTCATCACTGCTATTCCATCTCCTTCAATTGCACAATGCAATCACAAACACGAGCACCAGACATGTGGGAAAGAACTGCCAGTCCTGACATTCAAGGCAAGCTGCCCAAACCAAGTATGGCTGCTGTTACCACAGCGGCATGAAGCTGCAAAAATGGCAACCGGACCCAAAAGATGTCGCACAGTCCCTTCTCCGTGGGCCCGGTAGTTCATGAAATGATTTCTGTTTTGGACCGATTTTCCCATCAAAAACACGCACAAAAAAACACAAACGAATACATTACACCAGCATAGACCCCAAACAACAACAACGCATGTTTCCACCAAGGCCATGTGCAATTCAAAATTCATGGAACTGTCTGGCATACTCCTGTCTTCTGTTTTACTCCTTCATGATGGAACAGAACCCCTTTCCTGAGGAAAGAATGACGAGAGAAGAAGGGAGACTTATTATTTCAGGTCAGTTGAAAGCGCCGCGCACCACGCACCCCACAACATAAAGATGGACCTTGATCAACACCAATCCGGTCGGGAGAAAAAGGAAAACAAAAAACGTAAAACAAACGTCACGCCGCAACTTCCGTATCGCCAATAAAATCATCGAAACGTTGCGCAGCTCAAAAAACAGACATGTGTGAAAAACTTTGAAATTGCACCGAACAGCTGATGACCCTTGAGTTCACTCGGACAACGCATTTTTTTTTCACCATGCTGTGGGGAAAGATCGACCAGGTTCGTTTGGGTTGGAATGGCTTTCCAACTCGAGGCAAAAAATAGTGTGGTCAAACGGACCGAAGAGAAAAAGGTCATACAGACCAGAGGAAACCGGGTGGGAAGACAAGGGTGGGTATTTGGTTTCCTCATAAAAATTTGAGGTCCCACCCTCCCACACCTTGAAAGAGTATGTTGCGGACACAACATATATTGATGTGGATTCAGTATTGAAAAATTAAAAGATACCAAACAGGTACAAAACATGCACCACAGTTTGTATCAAAACAAATACACATCACAGCAACTGAAGGACATTCATTGCAAATGTGTTTGTTTCAAAAACGGTTGTTTGAGGTTTGTAGAAAAAACATCAAACAACAATTTGGTACGTTGGCGACAGAGAAGCGAGGACATCAAAGTGAGAGGAGTGCGATTACATTACGGAGACGCGGCGCACGCTCGTGCAGAAAAGTCTGCACAGCTAGAACTAACTGACCCTACACAATAAGGCCATCATCTTTTTCAAAGAGTTCCGGCTTATTATTTCAGGTCAGTTGAAAGCGCCGCGCACCACGCACCCCACAACATAAAGATGGACCTTGATCAACACCAATCCGGTCGGGAGAAAAAGGAAAACAAAAAACGTAAAACAAACGTCGTCAAGCCTTACATGTTGGCCACAACAAGCTGTAAAGTCAGTGCAGAAGCAACGCACTTCTTTTCCAAAACGACAGGCTAGGGTTATGGCCTGTCACACTTCAAAGCAGTGGTGGTGTGGGTGGGCGCTTTGAAGTGTGGAAAATACACAGCGGCCCACCCACCCACCTCTGAGAAAGAATGCTTCGGACATAGGAGATGAAGTTGTGTCCCGAAATTCTCCAATTTCTGAACAAGTGCACCATGACGATTCGATGAATAAATTCAGCTGCATCGTCAAGCCTTACATGTTGGCCACAACAAGCTGTAAAGTCAGTGCAGAAGCAACGCACTTCTTTTCCAAAAGGGGACCATGCGTCTCGACACCCCATTTAAATTGCATTGCCCACCGTCAGTTTCTGCAGCAAAGTCTCAAACCAAGCCAGTGCACTTGTAGACTCATCGCAGCATCCAGTGAGTAGTGGGTGTTGTACACCTCGTGAAGGAAAGTCACTTATGTTGGCCTCTGTAGGCACCCTTGCAAACCAAACGCACAGGTTGTTCGAAGCTTCTCGGCGAAGATGATATTCCATCAAGCAAGAAGACACATGACTGGAGCAAGTGCCCCGTATTAATGAAAACCTTGCAGCATCATTGTCTCCAAAGCACACCTGAAGACCGCCCATCATTCGATCGGCCCAAAAGTCTAAGGCCAGCACTGCCGCACAAAGTTCCAGTTCGTAAATCACAGTATGTTTCTTTTGCGCTCCAAAAACATTGCAAATTTTCTCATCCAAAGGAAAGCCAAACCATGCAACACATTCGCCCTTGTTGTCAAAGAGCGCAGCTCCAATCCCTCCAGTCTTTGTTTCAGGTTCGTAGGCAGCATCGCAATAAACAAACCATTGTTTGAGAGGAAGCGCATTAACTTCCCTTGGTCTGCCACTTTTCAATCGCTGTAGCATCATATTTAAACAAGTGACCAGCTCAGGGGGTATCTTGGAGGCACGCCCATAGGCATGTTCTGAAAGCTGCTTGAGCAGCAAGGCACCCAGACGTCCATGCAAAAAGGAGTCAGCAAATCCTAGTTTTCCCCTCAACACAAGCGCTGATTGCTTTCCAAGAACGCCAGATTCCAGAGTTGTTGTTATCAAGACCGTAAGATCTTGAATGCGCTGTTCAGTGTTTTGGATCATCAGGATGCGCTCACCAGATTTGCTCAAGTCAAATTCCACACCCAAAGCTCTGCACACCCTGTCAAACGATGTGCACTTCTTTCCCTCCGTAGCATACTGCCAGCCCGTCAGCAGGAACAGAAGTTCCATTGAGTTGCGTGCAGATTCCACGCTGCTCGGCCTTGAGGCCAATATGTAGTCGTCATAAAAGTTTGTTGTCAGAAGATACAACGCCCGGGCAGCGAGGGTGTGCAATGACTCGGATAACCTCAGGAAGCTGTATACGCTATGAGTTGCTCCAAAAGGCAACGTGAGCAGTTGATACACTTCAGCACATTGTCGCTCGCAGTTGTAAATGCTGAAGAAGGAAAAACACAAATGATCTTCTCGGATCGGCACCTGTCTGTAAGCTGACTTCAAGTCATAGGTCTTGGCCACCAGGGTGCTGTCTTGTCCAACTTCGTTGCACCTTTGGAAAAATTCACGCAAAACTGCAGCAAAGGTATCCACCATATGCAAATCAACTTTGTTACTGCTGGCAGCTGTGTCGTTTATCCCAGAGATTGAGTAGTCATCAATCATCCGCGTCTTTGCACCTTGGACAAGTGGGAACCTCCGGGATACTATGCAGCCTTCAGGCACCTCATCAAAAGGGCCTCTGGCCCAGCCCAGCCGCACTTCCTCCTGGGTCTCCTTTAAAAGCTGTTGGTCAACCGCATGGTCACCTGAAGTCTTGCACGAGGCCAGAATAGCCTGATTGCGCTTTGCAGCATCCCGTTTCAGCTGAGGCAGGGTGAGCAAACAAGGCTTGTAGCATTCCTGAAATGCCTGGGATTTCGGAATCTCCCCAGCCAAGGGCGACCCCTCACGCAGGAGGTCAAGAACTTCCAGGTCTTCGTAGTGGACGCTCTCAAGCAACTCACGGGTCAACAGCAGCCTTTTGCATTGAGTGGTGGCCCTCACATGATCAGGCCTTCCGGCTGCATCTGCTTTTTCCAATGGCTCCAATTCTTTGGCACGCTTCAGCCAACGTCTGCACCAATGCAACCTATATTCAACCAAGGTTTGCTCGGACCACTCAACATGCTTGTCAATGGCCATCTGTAAATCTTTTGGCACTGCATGATTCTGACCAGCAGGGTGTCCCAGTTGACACGCTTTTTCCACAAACTGCTTGCATTCCCATGGAAGTCCAAAAACCACTTTGTAAGACCAGTCTGCATCGACTTCCAGTGTTGTTTTGTTGAAGCCCATCTGCACCCCCTTCAGAAACTGCTGAAACAAAATTGCCACGCAAAAAACGTGCACCTTTTGGGACCACAACGGGTTGTTGTGCCTCTGTACGCAAGGTCAAGTCTTGTGAGAGCCTTGCCATCAACGAACATGGAATATCAGAGGGGCCTTTTGCAAGAAAAACTGCAGATTGTTGAAACGCAGGCATCATAGGAGGGAGTTTTGCGCTCCGAGGTTGCAAGCCTGCCGCAACTTGGGATTGTTTGGCTGTCAACAAAGGATGATCTGCCAGATCATGCAAGCATTCAGGTTGCAAAATCACACCACGCGCCTGTGCCACCTGCAAAACTACCTGAACCAAAGCTATGCAGAGCTTTCTGGGGTACATTGATTCTTCAGAGGTGGCCCAAATCTTTTGTCCTGCCGCATCTGTTGTAAAACCCCAGCCTAAATGCTGGTGTTTCCTGTCACAAGTCAAGTCCATCTGCAAAATTTCAGGAAACGAAGCTAAGATCCTAGTCCACTTGTCTCGCATCGACCCATACATGCAAGCCTGAAAATCTGTAGCATACAGCGGGTAAGTCCGCATCAACTCCAGCAAAAAAGGCGTTACCCAGAAGTAGGATCCTCTTGGGTTCTCAATCGTTGCAAGTATGTTTCTTCGAACACACAAAGAAAATAATTCACAGGTGTATTGAAACAAGGCATTTGCAATCTCCACCCTTTTGAGTTCATCTCCCTCCAAGGTGGGAAGACCAAGAGGAAATTCAAAGGATCGCAAAGGCCGAGGCAAATTGGCCACACCTCGACGTGGTATCTCACGTGCTCGGCTTGCTGTTCCACACACCGGTGCAAAATGCACCCAAAGCAGCAATGGTGACATGAGCCACTGTTCAAGCAGCTCCCTGTCTGACTGTTGTAAAAGGTCCAACTGAAAAATTGTTGAGCGTGCGTTGGCCTTCTTGATTTTATCGATAGCAATGCCACCCAAACCAAACTGCTTGGCAACTGACGTCAAAACTGCACCACCAGCAAACACTTCTATAATGAATAACTGCTCAACGTGGTAACCTCTCAGGTCTGTTGCCAATGCTTCTGCACCTCACTTGTGTTGTTGCAGCGAATGAGGCTGCTGGCATTTTGGCTCCGCGCAAACATGCATGCCTTTTGGGCAACGTTCTCCTGGCTTCACAGTGCTGCTATGAGAACAACCTGAAGAGGTATTGTAGGCAAAGCAAATTGGGTCATTGCTGGCCGTCTTGTGGTATTTGCCTCTCAACTCAGCAGGCATTGGTGGAGACTTACCTTTGCCTCCTGACTTCCCTTTTCCTTTCTGAGGTCTGTGCGCAGGCACTTGATATGGTGTAGCCCTGTGAGAAGTCGAAGTCTGCGCTGGCTGAGCTGGCTTAGCAAGAGGAGCTAAGTACAAGGCAATTGCAGGATCTGACCTCAGGGCCAAAAGGGCCCCTCCCAATGGAAAATTTCCAGCAGCATCCTCTCGTACCTGACAATTCAATGTGGCCAGTCGCGACCAGGCAGCTTTGTCACAACTCACCACCTGTGAAAGGCTGGCTCGTGAGTAGCCAGGTGGTACCTCCCTGTGCAAGGACTCAAACAAGAAAGTCTCCCAGGCGCAATGCTGTTGATATGTCATGATGCGTGCAAAGGCAAGAGCAACAGCCCTACGAGTGAAAGCGTAGTGCAACTTGATCTCACTGTCAGTTGAACAAGTCTGTTTGTCATCACTTTTCAAAATCAATGCGCCCGTCTCCAAGTCAATTCTCTGGAATTTGTGGTTCCCTGCACCTCCATGCTGCGAGATATGCATGTTGATGGCTCCAACCACTTGATGCTATTGTCATCAAACATCTTGCAAGTCTTGTCTAACAAGGAATGGGCAGGTTCGAGCTCGCCACGAATGTCAACACCTCGCAGCTCATTGCGTAGGTTCTCCATGCGCTGGTTGCGCTCTGCAAAGGCCACCCTACGGGGTTGAGTATCTTCTGAAGAATCGACCTGTTGTCGAAGGGTGGCAACTAAATAAGTATGAGCCTCAAACGTCAAGCGCTTGACTGAACTTGCCTCTGCTATGGTTCCTGCTCTTCCAAGGGCTCTTTGAATGAAGTCATCAACATCCTGGTTCTGAATTGGTTGACCTGGCTGTCCAACAATGAAAGCAAGACGTGACAGTGAATCAACTCCAGCATTTCCAAGTGCAGTCACAAAGCCAGGTGTTAAACCCAATCGCGCACATCGATCACTGAAATGTGCAGTACTGTCCAGTAAGGAAGTCATGGCATCAACGCAACCTACAAAATTCGAAAAGCAGAAATGGATTAGTTGAAGAAAAATTTGTCAAACAACTCTGAGCTCATGAAACGCACTCGTGACTCATTGCAGCTGTCTGCAAACTTAGACACATGCAGCTTTCTGCCAAAAGACCTTTGTCAAAAATTTTGGTCACCATGTCAAACTGTACTGGTGCAAAATGCACCCTCTTGAACCAAAGATGCAAGCAAACGATCGGCTTTCCGTCATGATGCTTGCACTGGACTTTTCCAGTCTGTGAACTCCAATCTCAAAGTGACATGGTTCATCGAGCCTTTGCTCTCAAGAAGCGCCTCTCCTTTTTTTCTCTATCAGCGCAAGAAGCTCAACGTGCCGCCTTTCTTTGAGCGCTGCAGCGCTGCATCCAAGGCATCTGTCATCTGGTCAATGCTTCTGATTCGTCCTGGGTCTTCTGGGAAGCACTTGAGACACTTCGGCCATCGCACTGTGAGAACTCTTGGCAACTTCACGAAGTTTGCACTCATGACAGCACCACAAGCAGCTATCCGCCCATCACACTTCACACGATGCATGATTGAACTCTTCCTGTGCCTGTAAAAATTCATCCCTTCGGGAACCTCCCCTGTGAAGGCATGCAGGTCAGGCCTTGCTACCACAGGGCCATCAGAAGAAGTTGAGGAGGTGTCGCTTGAGCTGTCACTGCCAGATGAACTGTCAAGTTCTATCACTCCCTGATTCACCAAGCTCAAGAGAAACCTGATCAGCCGCCGCTGCAATCTGTGCCTCGTCCAGGAGCTCCTCCTTGACACTCTCTGCATCAGCGAGCGCATTCATCTCGCCAGCAACCTTGTCAATCGTTTCACCTGTGGGCACTGCAGCTGTCACCGGTGGCAAAGGAGGGAAAGGCGTTGCCGGTACAGGCAAAGCTCCAGGCGCCGGTGTCCTGATGCAAGGCGTTGCAAAAGGGTTGGGCACCAATGGATCCTCCTCCAGCCCCAGCCCAATGCGCACTCTGTGGAGCAGCATATTCAGCTTCCTCAGCGCCCTTGTCTGTAAGTGGCGACTGTATACCACCTCAGACCCCTCCAATGCCGAGGCATGATGCCCAAGCACAGCTCTGACCTCCTTGTCCAAGCCTGCCTTCGCTGCCCACACCAACAATGTGGTCTTCAGTGAATGGGCCCTGAAGCTGTCAGAAGACGGCGTCCCATGCAGCAAAAGCCGTAGCCACGTTGCCGCCTCAGGTGTGCTGAGCGGTCTCGCACTGAAACCACCTCCCGATCTCGGTGCAGGCATCAGCGGTCCCAATGGCACTCGGTTGATGTCCAAGCCCGCTTGTTTGTAGACTTCAAGAAAAATTGCAACCCATTCATGGTGTGTCACACCCATCCAAGGAATCACCAACGGCAGGTATTGCTCTCGCTTTGCTCCAACCGATGAGGTCTTGTGTTCAGTTGTAAACAAAGTCAAAAACCCGTTCCGTCCTTCTTCAATTGTAACATGATGTATGAATCTCAAGTCTGACCACCGTGCTCTGCCATATACACAAACAAGCATGACTCCAGCGCCCAACCTGTCTGTCAAACAAGACGCCGACTCCAAAATCTCATGGAGCCGCTGAAGGTGTATCAGCTCCAAAGGGGGCGCCTGGTTTGTGGGGCCCTTCAACTGTCGCTGAATTGCAGAGAATCCCAAAAGCCTTCTCGACTGAAGAATGCAGTCAGTCTCACGCATGTCCAAGCAAAACTTTGAAAACCGCACAGTCTCCATGAATGCAGATTGAGTTGTAAAACCTCTGCCAGTGGTTTGCCTACACTCTCGCAACCAATGAAAGAACTCCCAGACGTCAGGCTCAGACAAAGGCAGGGGGCTCACAACCACTTGATGAGCATCGGACCTCGTTGAGGCATGCCACTTGAAATACCTCCGCAACGTTGCAGCACGCTTCAAAAGCGTCTGTGGACTCTTCAGTCCGAAACTGGCCTTCAGCGTTTCACTGGCCAGCTTGCCGCTAGCATCTTTAGCCATATCAGTAGCAAGCATCTCACCAACACCAGTTGCGTACCAATTGCATGAAAGCAACTCCAACCATTGACCGCAAGCCAGCTCAAGTTGTCTGTTTTTGTTCTCGAAGTATTCAAGGTCTCTGATGTTTCGAACTGCTTTGTCAAAACAAGCATCCCTAGGGACATGTGAAGTGGAAGCTAAGGATTCCGACGCCTCGATGACCTTTTCCATGAATTCACTGTCAGGCTCTGGCAGGTGACTTTGTGGCAACTCAAGCAATGAACCCTTGCCAAAAATCTCAGCAAAAACTCCACTCTCCCATGGCAACAAAAGTGACGTCTGGTGTTGTGAAAACTGGCCATGATTTGCAATGACACCCAACTGCCACTGAGAATCACTTGTCACAGGTTGTACTGCGTTTGAAGTTGATTCAAAATGCAACTCAGAACCGGCAGCTGGTGTACTGGGGCTAGGGCACAATGAACCGCAAGCACTCTTCTCAGTCTCTCCGCTGTGTTCAAATTCAAGTGATTCAAAACCAAAATCATGAGGGTATGCATTCACACGTTCACCTTCAACATGTGCATCTGGCAAAACATCTTGCACGAAAGTCCAACTGGAGTCAGGACAGTCAGAAAACGAAGTGTCAGCTTCAATCTGAATTGAGTTGCCAGCACATCCATGGCACTCATCATCTTCCACGGTGAACGTCTCTGAAGCCATTGCGCTAAACTCAAGACCTAAAGGAAACTAACCCCCATCACTCGCTTTGAAGTGTGGAAAATACACGCTTTGAAGTGTGGAAAATTACACAGCGGCCCACCCACCCACCTCTGAGAAAGAATGCTTCGGACATAGGAGATGAAGTTGTGTCCCGAAATTCTCCAATTTCTGAACAAGTGCACCATGACGATTCGATGAATAAATTCAGCTGCATCACGCCGCAACTTCCGTATCGCCAATAAAATCATCGAAACGTTGCGCAGCTCAAAAAACAGACATGTGTGAAAAACTTTGAAATTGCACCGAACAGCTGATGACCCTTGAATTCACTCGGACAACGCATTTTTTTTTCACCATGCTCTGGGGAAAGATCGACCAGGTTCGTTTGGGTTGGAATGGCTTTCCAACTCACCCTGAGCCATCCCCAATTTCATGAATGTGAGTTGGAAGCACCATCCGTATTCGAGGACAGCCCGACAGGACTGGGTCGTCAAAGACGAGTCGGCTTGGAGAGTCTGCTACATTTGAATGACTCGGCACTCTACCGAACCAGGAGTAAATTCTCAGCCGGGCCTCCAACCGAACAAAGTCTTTGAGCATGAGAATGGAAGGAGGCGTAGCGCCCACACCTTTGATGTACGTTGCTCGGGCTGCAACGTTGTCAAGAAAGTACACTGTGGGGCATCCCATCAGAAATTTCATCCAAAGCCTCGTGGCCATCACGACAGGAAGCACTTCAAGTTCATAGATAGGATGAGAAGAATGCTGCAACAGCTCGTCCACTAAAGTCTTGGGGACGACTTCACCAAAACACTGAACTGGAGTGCCTGTCGGCGAAATCAAGACTGCACCTATGCTGGCAAGAATTTCTGAATCAGGTTCATATGCACCGTCAGTAAAGACGTACCAAGTTGTACAAAGTGTCTTTGAAATCACGACCGGCTTCGAGGACCCTATCGCATGTTTCAAGTCTGTCAAGGTCTGAAGAAATTCTGACGTGTAGTGAATCACCTTCTTTCGTTGCAAGGACTCAATGGAAATAGTTTTAACAAGCTGATTCATCATCCTGCCAAAGACAAACGCACTGAACCAGATCAGCCGACCATGGAGTCTCTCAAGCTCTTTGGGCGTCGACCTTTGCGCGCTTATCAAACTGTCAAGAAATTGCACCAGCTCGGACTTCCTGCTCTCAGTATGTTGCAAAGCGAACGTGCCGTCAGGTATGGCACCAACATCAAAGACTACACCAAGCGACTTGAAGGAGGGCCCAAAAAAAGTTGCCTTTGAGCCTGTTTCTGCAAACCATACTCCCAACATGCGGAAGAGGGATTCGACATAGAAAGACACGTTTGTCTCTTCTCCTTCTACACAGACACAAGTGTAATCGTCGAAAAAGCTTGTCCACAGGACTTGAAGAGCAACTATTCCTATGTACGTGAGGCTGGCGGCCACACGCAAGAATGAACTCACCGAACCCGAGGCACCAAACGGCAGCGCCAATGCGGCAAAGATGCCAACCCCTCCACCAGGACGCTTGACAGCAATCTTGAGCCTGTCGGCATGCCACTTGTCTACTCCAAACTGCTTGTACGCCGACTTCAAATCGTAAGTGCGGCCAGTGAGCTTTGGAAGGCATCCATCAGGGGCCTGGTCCAACATGAATGCCAAGTAAGCGCAGAGTTCGTCCACCGCTTGGACGCGAAGCTTCTCTCTGAGCCCGTAGGCACCGTTTACACCACAAATTGTGAAGTCGTCCACAAGTCGCACCTTGTCTTTCTGAGGTACAGGGAAGCGTTTTGCAACAAAGCATTCTCCTTCCATGGAGCTAGGAGACAACATCCTTTGTCTACTTCCGTCATAGTCTCGTCCCAAACAAACTGATCATGTTCTGATGGAGCGGCACTGTGGAGAGAGTTGACCACCGATGCGTTCAATCCTTTCGACATGTTGATCAGCTGTTGTAGTCCGAGGGACGGCCTCCTGACGTTCGGCCTGAAAACACCAGTGGATGGTGCCCACCCTGTCAGCTTGAAACCACTGCACATATCATCAATCACTGCAACATCCGGGTATTGCAAGTCAACCAGGATTTCACGCCAGAGAAGAAGGCGCTTTCCTTCAAGAATGCGCTGCAAATGATGAGGCAACTTACGGTGCAAGGCCTGCTCCTCATTCTTTAACTCAAGGGACCGTTTGAGCCATGTCTTCAAAAAGGAAGCCCTTGTTTTGAAGCGCCCCGCCATATCTCCATCCAGCATGCTCCGCACGACTGCCCTGATTTCATTGGGTACCTGTGCAATGATGTCTCTTGGATGACCCTTTCGGATCGCATCACTTATGAAGTCAGCAGGTTCACGTGGGATACCTACTTGCAAGAGTTCACATGGTTCACCAGCTTTCCATGATTCAGTTTGCAAAACTTCCTCATATTTGCTCTCCATGTCATCTCGAGCGACACCCCCTGGAAAAAGAATACGATGACAAACTTTGGCTCCTTTGGGTAGTTTTTGCACAAAACTCTGCACTTCTGAGTCGTGTGATGTTGACGCAAGAAGTGTCGCATACCTCCCGTATTCAGAGACCAGTGGTCTCAACTTCTGTCCTTTGGGCTGCGTTGTAAACAACTGTCGACTTGCAACGTTTGGCACCTCCATAATTTGTTGTTGCAAGTCTTCTGAAAAAGCAAAGCCACAACGAAGAGCCTCGTCCTTGAGAATGCACGCAATGCGATCACACAGCAACTGCGGATATGCAGCTTCCTCTTTTGTAGGAAAAACAGTTTGGCCATGGGCATCTTTGTAAGGACGCCAGGGTTCATGTTTGTGATTGCCATCGCATTGCGGCGCAAGAGAACGAAAAAGGTCTTTCTCAGCATCTCTAGGGTTCCAACTCCACCATGCGGTCTGCTTGTCACGCTTGCCGCCATGCATACAGTGATGAAAAACCGAAAAATGTCGAGCACCAAATGATTCCAAAAGCTTTGCAACATCTGAGTGTTTCCAGAAAAAGGAATTTTTGGGATTTTCGGTGCTGACAGAGATGCCGTGTGCAATCAGTTTGAGGATCAAATGCACTGTTGCACTGTAGCTGCTATTTGCCTTGTCTACTCGCTCTTGGTCATGAAAACTGAGGCCTGGCAATCCGTCAGGATAACGGTCAGACCTAAGTGGCTGAGGCCCAGCTTTGGGATGTTCGCCAGGTATTGGGCGTCCCCTGGCTCGAGACGCTGTTCCGCATGATGGCGCAAAGTGCGCATGTAAAATTGCATCTTTCTCTACATCGATGAAACTCTCTAAGGCATTCAAGCTTTGGGAGTCCGTCACATCAATTTGGAAAATTGGAAACTGCTCAGACCTATCCTTCGTTTGGTCAACAGCTACAGCCTCAAATCCAAGTTTACTGCAAGCCTTGGAAAGACGAGCACTGCCGGCAAAAATTTCTAAAATGATGCATCTTGAATTTTCACTGCTAGGTCGCAATGCTTCAGTTGCCATTTCATGCACAAAACTTCCATCATCCACAACTTCATGCACTGGAGTCACTGAGATTCCAGGGGCTACAGGTGTTCCTGTTTTACCACCATCACGCTGTGAAGACGCGACCTCCTCCTGTCAACTGCTATGGCACTTGTGTGCCCCATGTCCACCTTTCAAGCATTTCATGCATGTATGGAAACCAAAACGACAGCGCCCCCGCTTGGTGGCGTTTGCACAACCCTTGCTCAAATTGTAATTCCAACACAGCGGCTTGTTGTCGGCAGTCTTGGTGTGAAATCCGGACAGCTCGGCCGGCAACTGGGCAGGCGCCTTTGGACCCTGACGTGGTTTCTTTGTAGGAGGTGGGGACTGTTTGTCTCCAGCACTTGTCACAGGCGCCGGTCGTTTTTGGCTAACTGGAGCAGGGACCAGGTAAATGTTGACCCTAGGGTCTGTCATGTAAACACGAAGCTGCGCATCCAATGGAGGCTCACCATCTACCATCGGTGACTTGAGTGGTCCATCATATTCTGAAGCCAACAAAAGAAACATTTCTTGGTCTGCACGGATAATTTGTTGCAAACTGAGCGCCTGGAAGTGAGCCGGGGTGTCAGCCATAAGTGCCCTGAAGAGCTTGTTCACCCACTCAGAATGGGCATCAAACGACATCAATCCTACAAGGTCAAATGCCAATCCACGACGCTGCAGTGCGTACATCAATTTCATTTCCGTGCCAATGTCAACTGTCGGCAATGAATCGGCCGACACGGCCTTCAATGTCCCCTGTTCAAGGGTCAACAACTGTTTCTGTCTAGTCTTTGCGTCTGTTTGGATCTCTGAATCTCTTGAACTGCACTTGGAAGGCGCCACATACAGCAACGCGCCCGACTCAACAATGTGAAAACACAAATCAATCAGGCCATGCGATGCCCTTTGCTCGTGCATGTGTGAAATACCAGTGATCCTAGTTTGTTGTGCCTCAAGGCGGCGCCTCTTCTCGACGTAGGGCAAGGACTTCGATGGTTCAGACGTGTCACCTGCAACTGCCTGCTTCCTGAGATCTGACATCACCAATGTCTGTGCTTCGAAGTCAATACGTCTAACAATTGAAACCTCAGCCAGGGATGCAGGACCTTGAATAACTCGATCTGCAAATCTTTGCATGTCATGTTCTGAAACCGCTTGCTGCGGCGTGCCAACTGTAAACGCCAAACTCGAAAAAGTTGCTATCTGAAGGTGGGTGAACATGTCATGAAGTCCGTCCATCAACTCATCACATCGTTTCTGAAAGGCAGCCTCTGAATCAATCAATGACATGGCAGCACAGCAAGTCCTTTGAGGATCTGCACAGGCGCACGCTGTCAATGAATTCCTGCTGATGTCTCGCAAGTTGATCCTTGAAAGTTTCTGAGTTCCTCAGAAAAAATATTTGGAGAAAGTTGAATGCCCATCAAGGTGAAAAACTTTGGTTTGCTCACATGGTTCATTGTGTGAAACACAAATAGTTTCTCTCAAGCAAAGGTC